CGAACCACACTACACGAAGAACACGATTAGTCGACTAAATTCAATTGTTCTCGTGCGGTATTGCAAGTCGCATTGTTGCTGAAAGTCATTTAAATCATTACGTTAACGTCCTCCGACGGAATGGATTTAATCGACGTAAATTTAATTTTTTTTAAATCAACTATTATGCCGAATCACGATGCCGGTTCTTAAAGTACCGTACAGATTTTTATTGTTTTATTTATTATATTATTATTATTATCTTTCTCACCGGAAGCGCTCGCACGTTGAGGATCTCTCAACAATTTCGTGCTAACGGAGAACTCCATGCTGCTGGACAGCGGGTGGAAATACATGGTACTGTATCCGTCGCCTCTGGGCGCTAGGGCCATTCCGAACAAGCCGTCGCTCCATTGAAACGAGATTCCCGACACGTTAAATTCCTCAGCCTTGACATAATCACAATTTTAAAAGTTAATAACAGTGCGTACAGCGGTGATATAATATAATGGACTCAAAGTAACTCTTACATTCTTACGAATATCTAAACGAAAACTTAAGAAAATATTATATTTGTACATATCTATTTTCTATTATTTCTAATATAGAAATATAGAAATATTAATTAATGATTGTTAAGTTTTTCGTTCAAATATACAGGATGACTCGCAACTGAAACAGAGCACCTACAGTGCTGTGAATAATTATAAATTCAAAAGTAACTTTTACATTTTTACAGATATTTGAACGAAAATCAAGGGGGGAAAAAAGAACTATATTTGTATATTTCTATATTAGAAATAATAGAAAATAGAATTCCATAGCTTCTGTTATATTAATTACTAGTCTGCGGATTTTATGTATTTATGCACAAAAGCGTGCAGTTGAAATATAAAATTATGAACATAATTTTATTGATTATTAAAATAATCGATAAGAAACAATTTGTTTTTACTTAATTTCCGTTCCCCGTAATCGTCTCGGTAAATCTTTATTTTGCATAAAGATCCACAGTCCGTTAATTACTATGTAATCGTTCGTAACGGATGTATGTATAATATATGAGCCGTTTATTTTGAAAGTGGCATAAGTCACTTTTTCAAAAAAATCGAGTTAATGGTAACACTAATTACAATTGAACGGTATCTTTTCATTTTAAAAAAATTTGCAATCATTATTGATTGTTGAGAACTATTGAGAGTTGTTCGAGAGAAGTTTTGCTAATTAACGGTATAACAAACATGTTTATTTTGAAAGTGGCGTAAGTCGCTGTACTCAGGAAATTAATTGCGGGTCTTAGTGTAAAAGAAATAGAAACGTGTGATAAGTGTGTGCGAAGTATTGTTTTGAATTATTTTCAGTATTTTTAAAAAAGTTGTGATCACTGGACTTATTTTTATAAGTGCGAAAGAATAGTGCAGTTTTGTAAATTATATTATAGTGATGTGGCGGCTACCTCCAGACCCGCCAGCAGATGGCTATAAAATGTTTTATAAACTAACTTTAGATGAAAAAGATGAATTTCTAACTTTGGATTTGTCACCAAAAAGAGGAAGACCTAGGCGTTATTCACAAATAGAAATGGATCCGTTATACGCTGGATCTCGTCCTGTTTCTTCAGCAAAATACAAACACAGGATGGACTTGCTTAATTATATACCCCCGATATACCACAGTTATTTTAAAAATTTGAAACAAAACACGATTTCCGAGGACTTAATCACTCCTATCGATGACGAAAATTAAATTGAACCGATGTAATTTCATATAAATTACTTATACTTATGTTTCAAAATGTAC